TCTCTCTTTATTGCCCTTGGTGGAGTGCCGTGGCATCACAGCTCACAGCAACCTCCAGCTCTCGGGCTTAGGCGATTCTCTTGCCTCAGCCTCCCAAGTAGCTGGGATTACAGGCGCCCGTCACAACGCCCAGGTATTTTTTTGTTGCAGTATGGCCAGGCCTGGATTTGAACCCACCACCCTTGGTATATGGTGCTGGTGCCCTACTCACTGAGCCACAGGCACTGCCCAATTTCTTTCTTTCTTTTTTTTTTTTAATTGAGACAGAGTCTCACTTTGTGCTCACAGCAACCTCAAACTCTTGGGCTTAAGTAATTCTCTTGCCTCAACTTCCCTAGTAGCTGGGACTACAGTCACCTGCCACAATGCCTGGCTATTGTTGTTTGTTTGTTTAGTAGGCTCAGGTTGGGTTCAAACCCACCAGCCCCAAAGCATGTGGCTGGTGCCCTAACCATTGAGCTATGGGGGCTCCAGCTTGGAAAATACATTTCTGATGTTTATAAGCAACATGGTTTCTGGTGTTCTTTGCTACAGCAGCTCAGATGAACTATGCCCAGGTCCTCCAACATGGCTGCTGGTCAAGGTCATCTTATAGCCAGCTCATCCACAGACAGAGGAAGCTCAGCCCAAACCAGAAGAGCCAGTCAGCCTAAGTCACCAACTTCCAGACTCACAAACTTGATAAACATTTGTTTCAAGCCACGAAGATTTGATTACATAGCATTATTTTAATATTATACTATTATAAGCTTGAGTGATCCTCTTGCCTCAGCCTCCAGAGTAGCTGGGACCACATGCATGTGCCATTATGCCCGGCTAGTTTTTCTATTTTTAGTAGAGATGGGGTCTCACTCGTGCTCAGGCTGGTCTCAAATTCCTGAGCTCAAGCAATCTACCTGCTTCAGCCTTCCAGAGTGCTAGGATTACCAGTGAGGGCCACCGTGTCAGGCTCAGAACTATTTCTGGTTTGGGAGTATTATAAATAAAGCTGCTCTTTGTGTACACGTCTTTTTTCCTGGACATTAAGTTTCATTTCTCTGGTGTAAACATCTAGGCGTATATTTGGGTCATAGGGTAGGCATGTGTTTACTTTACACGCAGAACTTTGTACACTATCAACAATAATACAGAATGAGGGTGTGGGGCTCAACATACCAGCCACTGGTATTTCATCTAGTCAGTCTTTTAAAATTGTGACCATTCAAGTAGGCAAATGCAACGAGTTTTGAGAAACGAACATACCTATGTAATTAGAAAGAATCTTCCCATATTCTATAAAATGATCTGTGCCCATTGCAATCAACCCTCCCCATCCCACAGGGAACCACTGTTTCAATTTCTGTCATCACAGCTAAGCTTAGCCTGTTTCAGGATTTGAAATAAAGGGAATCATAGGCATGTGTTTCTTTTGGTCAGGTTTCTTTTGCTCAAAATCGGGTCTCTGTTCATCTTCCTGGGTGTGTCAGTTAACTCATTCCTTTCTGCTGCTGAGCAGCATTCCACATCTAGTCTCCCCCTGACAGATACTCGCACTGTTCCCAGACTTCGGCTATATGAATAATGCTGTTGTGAACTTTGTTGTGTAAGACATACGCTTTTGTTTCTCCTGGGAATGGAATTGCTCGGTTTTACAGATGTGTTTAGCCATGAAAGAAGCTGTCAGTATTTTCAAGTGATGTGTGATTTTACACTCGTACCCGCACTGCCTGACAGTTGTTCAACATTCCTGCCAATACTTAGGACTATTTGTCATTTTTTATTTTATTTTATTTATTCATTTATTTTGAGACAGAGTCTCACTCCGTCACCCTCAGTAGAGTGCTATGGCGCCACAGCTCACAGCAACCTTAAACTCTTGGGTTTAAGTGATTCTCTTGCCTCAATCTCCCCAGCAGCTGGGACTACAGGCACCCTCCACAACGCCCAGCCATTTTTTTCTCGTAGTTGTCGTTGTTGTTTGGCAGGCCCCGGCTGGGTTTGAACCTGCCAGTTGCGGTGTATGCGGCTGGCACCCTAGCCACTGAGCTACAGGCGCCGAGCCTATTTCTCGTTTTTGAAACTTAACCATCTGGGATAGAGTACCACGGCATTATCATAGCTCACAGCAACCTCAAACTCATGGGTTCAAGAGATCCTCATGCCTCAGTTTCCCAGGGAGCTGGCCCCAACTAGGCACCTGCCACAATGCCCAGATACTTTTTTTTTCTTTTTTGAGACAGAGTGTCACTATGTCACTCTCTGTAGAGCACTGTGACATCACAGCTCACAGCAACCTCAAACTCTTGGGCTTAAGCGATTCTCTTGACTTAGTCTCCCACGTAGCTGGCACTACAGGTGCCTGCCACAACACCTGACTATTTTTTTGCCACAGTCATTGTTGTTTAGCAGGCCTGGGCCAGGCTTGAACCCACCAGCCTTGGTGTATGTGGCTGGTGCCCTACCCACTGAGCCACGAGTGCCGAGCCTATTTTTTCTATTTTTAGCAGAGACAGGGTCTTGCTTTGGGTCAGGCTGGCCTCCAACTCCTGAGCTCAAGGGATCCTCCCACCTTGACCTCCCGGGGTGCTGGGATGACAGGCCTGAGCCACTGTGCATCTAGAATTTATGTTAACTCCTATTTCCCACCTGGCTGGAGATACAGACTGTCTCCTCATGTGCCAATCGGGTCATTCATGTATCTTTTTTTTTGGAAAGTGCACATTCAGGTCTTTTGCCCACTGTTTAATTGGGCTCTTTACATGACTGAGATGAAGGAATGCTTTCATATTCTAGATACCGGGCCTTTGTCACAAATGTGTACTGCAAATACTTTCTTCTTGCCTTTTTATTTCTTCCGTACAGCCTTTTGAAGATGAGCAGCTTTCAGTTTTGATGAAGCCTAGCTTTTCAAGTTTTTCTTTTATGATCTGTGCTTTGTGTCCCGTGTAAAGAAATCTTTATAGGCAATCACACTGGGTTGTTTCCACTTGTTTTCCATCTTTTGGTGTTGCTTTTTTCTTCTTTATATACTTCCTTTTTTGTTTGTTTGCAGTTTTTGTCTGGGGGCCAGGTTTGAACCCGCTACCTCTGGTATATGGGGCTGGCACCCTATTCCTTTGAGCCACAGGCGCTGCCCTATATACTTCCTTTTTAATTAATAAAAATATTTATATGATTCCAAGATCCAAACTATAAAATAAAATATATTTAGGGAGGTCTTGTTTCTTTGTGTCCCTGGTTAGTTCCTCCCTTGTCATCCACAACATGAACTGCTTTAGTTTTAAAAAGTATTCTTCCTTTATTTTTGGAAATTATACATTCCTTTTACTTTTTTTTTTTTTTTACTTTTTTTTTTTTTGCTTTTATTTTATTTTATTTTATTTTTTTTTTAATGGAGGAGACAGAGTTTTGCTTTGTGTTCTTCAGTAGGGTACATAGCTCACAGCAACCTCTGCCAACCCCTGGGTCCCTGGGTTTAATGGCTTCAGCCTCCCACGTAGCTGGGATTACAGGCGCCTGCCAGAACGCCCGGCAATTTTGGTTGAGACGGGGTCTCACTCCGGCTCTCCTTCTGGCTCATGCTGGTCTCGAACCTCTGAGCACAGGTGATCCACCCGCCTCGGCCTCCCACAGCGCTGGGACTACAGGCGTGAGCCACCACGCCCGGCCATACATTCCTTTTACAATGTACAAACATGTACACACACCATATACCACTTTTATATATTGCATATATTGATATATACATGCATCTCCTTTTGTTTCTTTCTTTTTGGATACAGTCTCATGCAGTCCCTTGGTAGAGTGCTGTTGTGTCATAGCTCACAGCAACCTCAAACTCTTGGGCTCCCAGTAATCCTCTTGCCACAGCCTCCCAAATAGCCAGGCACCTGCCACAATGCCTGGCTAGTGTTTACAGACAGGGTCTCACTCCTGCTCAGGCTGGCTGGTCTTGAACTTCTGAGCTCAGGGAATCTACTTGCCTCAGCCTCCCAGAGTGCTGGGATTACAGGTGTGAGCCAATAGGCCTGGCCCTCCATCTTGTTTCCTTAACAGTGTAACCTGAGGAGACTACTCCATAGTAATGAATGGAGAGCTGCTTTTTCTTTCCTCCTACACCTCCCCACCCCTTCTGGTAGCTTCAGAATAGCTCTACCGATGGACATTCACATGATTTCTAGTCTTGCTACTGCATTGAAGAGCTTTGTGCCCACGTCACTTCATACACACACACACACACACACACAAACACGTATTTTTTTTTTGTTGGAGACAGTCTCACAGCAATCTCAAACTCTTTGGGCTCAAGTGATTCTCTTAACTCCTGGCTATTTTTTTTTTTTTTTGTTCCAGTTGTCATTGTTGTTTAGCTGGCCCAGGCTGGGTTTGAACCCTCCACCTCAGTGTATGTGGCTGGTGCTGTAACCACTACCATATTTCCCTGAAAATAAGACACTGTCTTATATTTATTTTTTCTCAAGAAGACACACTAGGGCTTATTTTCAGGGGATGTCTTATTTTTATTAAGTATAATACAACAATCTCCATTTATTCGAATACAGTTAAGTCCTCTTCTGCAACCTGACAGGGGGAGCCTACCTTGTTGGTGGGGCTGGCGCTAGTGATGTGTGAACTTTCCCCTAGCTGTTTGCACGTGCGCAATAGGATGCCTGCCACTTCGGTTACCACACGCGCACCCCCGCAAGTGCTAAGGGCTTGGAGAAAAGAGCTGTGACAGATAAAAGGCACTCCAGTCTTCCTTACGGCTCTGTGCAGAAATACGCTGCATAGCCACGCTCATCACTAGGTCTTATTATTGGGGTAGGGCTTATATTTAACAAATGCATACAAATCCTGCTAGAGCTTATTTTTTGGGTAAGTCTTATTTTCGGGGAAACACGGTATGCTACGGGCGCCAAGCCTCAAGTGATTTTTTTTTTTTTTTTGAGACAGAGCCTCAAGCTGTCACCCTGGGTAAAGTGCTGTGGCATCACAGCTCATAGCAACCTCCAACTCCTGGGCTCAAGCGAGTCTCCTGCCTCAGCCTCCCAAGTAGCTGGGACCACAGGCACCCGCCACAACGCCCAGCTATTTTTTGGTTGCAGCCGTCACTGTCGGGCAGCCGGCCAGGCTGGATTCAAACCTGCCACCTTAGGTGTATGTGGCTGGTGCCTAAGCCACTTGAGCCACAGGCACTGAGCCTCAAGTGATTCTCTTGCCTCCGCCTCCCAAGCAATCTCAAACTCTTCGGCCACAAGTGATTCTCTTGCCTCCGCCTCCCAAGTAGCTGGGACCACAGGTACTCACCATAGCTCCCAGCTATTTTTTAGAGATGGGGGTCTTGCTCTGGCTCAGGCTGGTCTTGAACCCGTGAGCTCAGGCAATGCAACTGCCTCAGCCTCTCAAGAGTGCTACGATTACAGTCGTGAGCCACTGTGCCCTCATATTTTTGCTAAGTCCATCTCTGGGATGCATTTCTAGGAAGGGTACTCCTGTGCCAGAGGGTCCCACGTCTGCAGTTCTGCAAGGTATGGCAGATCCCCCTCAGGTGAGGGGATGAGAACTACCTGTGTCCCCGAGACTGGCCGACAAGCAGCCCTTCCTTCAGGTGCCCTCACATACTGTGGCATAATGAGGAGTATCCAGCATCCTGTTTAAGAGCTGGGACACCATTAGATTGGGGCCCCATGGAGAGCTCTTCTTTCACTCGTGCTCAGCACAGAGGACACCCTCTATAATTGGGGTTTTGCTTCCGGGCCATTCAGGGAGCTGGATCGGCGAGAGGTGGCTCAGACATGAGAGCAGGGAGAAGCTCACCCGTGTGCCTGGGTACATGTGAGTAGCACAGATACAGGAACCTACGCAAACTTCTTCACAGCTAGGTCATGGCAGACACCAGGTTAACCTCTTCTGGTTAAATTCCTCAGAAACCAGTTAGCTCTAACAAGATCCGTATGTGTCAGGCTAAATATCTTTATTTTAATTATTTTATATTTTATTTTATTGTGCTTTATTTTAGACAGTCTTACTCTGTCACATTGGGTACAGTGCTGAGGCATCATAGCTCACAGCAACC